TACTCTCTCTCTCTCTCTCTCTCTCTCTCTCTCTCTCTCTCTCTCTCTCTCTCTCTCTCTCTCCATATTAGAAGAATAAAAAGAACAACATACTCCAAGTGCTCAAGACCTCTCTCTCATAAACACAGATCCATATGCTCTCTCTCTCTTACTCTACATAAAAGATGAGAAAAAAAAGAAGATGATCCTTAAGTATTTCATGCGAATCCTCACACGCACATGCGTGCGCACTAACACATACACATACAATATATAACAAATATACACACAAACACACACTATATTTACATACACACACACACACACAAAACATATGCCAACCCCACCTCACCATCCAGGTATCAAGGCAACTGCCCATCCGCCTCCGCCTTTATGAACATTGCTTGAGACAAAATGGGAGAAACCAAAACATCCTTGGACATCCCGGTTTCCTTAGGTAGCCTTCCAAATGAGTCTTCATAAAGGATAGAATTCAAAGATAGGGCAATCATTGTTGTAATAGGTGCTTCATATGCAAACGGAATGTGGAGGATCACAAACATGTATGCATAAGCTTCAACCTTTGCAAGCGAGGTTTTGAAAGCAATTACATGGAGAATCAAGAACCTGCCCAACACCCTCACTATCCTCCAATAGCTTATGACATATGGATTCAAGAGAAAGTCTAACAACATATATTTACTTGAACTCCCAAAGCCTCTCTACCAACACTAGTTTGGGGAACTCGGCAAGAAAGGAATCTGTATGATGATGGGCCATCTCCCAATATCCATAAGGTAGTCCATGACACATTATGGAAGATTAGAAACTGCATTCCAGAAGGCAAGATCACCTTACCAAGAAAGGAGAGAGAAAGAACATTGATCCTTACAACGATTATAAATTTGTTTATAAGAGTAATACGAAATGGCAGATCCCTCCAAAACCAGGGCTAGTTTAACTGAAAAGATAAATTGCTTTTAACCAATGAATAAAGAATTCCAGGTAAAACAATTGGACTTTCTGTGTCTCTATAACATTGATGCAAATGAACAACTTATTTCTTTAAACAGAGAGAATGGATGTGATTTCATCCATAAATGAATTATTTTAACATAACAAAATGGAGAAAATTGCCACAAAAACACCCTGTTTGGGTAAACCATTCAAGACCATATTAGTTTCTATAAGAAGAAAGCCCAGATTTGAAACAAAGAAGCAGAACAATGCACTAATATCCTCCTGAAATAGAAGCCCACTTCGAGGGACAGAACATCTAAAAACATTTAAGGAGTTGCCTTAAATAATAATAGGTTTGAAGGAGTGATGTGCAAGGATTCCAGCACTTGGAGGAGAGCAATGGCTTTGGCCCAAGAGAAACCTACCCAAAGAAAGGATGAACTATCAGTAAGAAGGGACAAATGAGAAAATGGAAGAGAATAAATTCAGAGACAAATAAAAAAAATAAGATCTATAGATTACATAACAATACAGGTTGCAGGTCACCGTGTGGCGATTCTGTTTATTATCTAAGAAATTTTTTATTAAAGAAAACAACTATACAAAATCCACCCACTGGATATAGTCCAAAAGCCCCACAACGTTCCTCTATATACCCATGTTCACCAACTCATAAGCCACCTGGTCCATTTACCCAATAACATGATATGTAAGACAGACAAAAAGCTGAAAATAGTCATCATGACATCGAGAGTGTCTACGTAATAAGACATGTCTACGTAAAGTGCAGATAAAGGAGCAGGAACACCATGGCCCTCCCCAGAACCAATAATTTCACAACTACAACATGGGTTGTTGCAAATGAGGATCCACATTCTGAATAGTCACCCAGTCAGGCCATAACCCAAATTGTATATCACTACAATGAAGCCATCTTCGACCGAAGCCATCTACGACCAAAGCCATATGGCTGCCATCATTATACAACATGATTTAAGAAGAGAATTTTATTGTTATATGGTGCTTACCACAAGTATTATGAGCAAGACCAAAGATATAATAGTTCGAGATCATCTAATAGTTCGTCGCTCTCAAAAATTCGTGATTAGTATGAAGTCATCCAAAGTGGGCAGGAAGCAAAAGAGCACAAATAATGAAATGAATAAGAAAACATACGATAATAACAGGCACCCAGATAAGAACAATGCACAGACAATGCCTATCTGCTTCAGTTAAATCCACAGCAACTAAATTTTCCAACATATAGCAATAAGCTAATGGAATATGGCAATCATCTAAGATTAAGCAATAGTCCTTCACAGATGAAACAACAGAAATTGCCATTAACAACAGAAAAAAAAAGTGAGTACTCACTATATCTTCTCTGGTCATAAACTCAAACTTAATAGCATTCAGGTGCCCCATCGGCACCATCATTTCCATAAGTTCATCAGTTTCCATGTCGCTAATGTACCTCGCAAGCTTCAATACAACAAGTCTTACACCATTAGGAAAAGCATGATATTGTATAGACTAAAACTGGAACATCATAAAAACTGCAAATTATCAGCTAGACATAAAGGACATGTTGGCAAAAGACAAGTGTGACAAAGGACCAGAAGTAATTAGAATGATTCACACAAGAATATAAGAAAAAATAAAAGGATAAAGCGACCAACATAGACTCCTACATATTGGAGAATGAACAAAGAAGCAACATTGTAAGGATCCTCACTTCTATAAAACATCTAAAACAATACCAAAGTGTAAGTTTTGAGCAAGACAGGGTTCACAATACCATTCAACATAGCTGGCAATAATTAATCAGGGTTAAGGTACAAGCATTGGTATGCTAGAGCATTGGTGTGCTAGAGCAAAACAGGTCGAGAGCAAATTTTAGCCCCTATGCCTTGGGGTCAAGATTCTGATGGTGAAGGAATAACAAAGGCACCGCATGGTAGAATGTGGATGCAGCACAAAAATGGTCACAGGTGTTATATGGATACACCATAAGCATGGGCCGTGGACTAGTAGAATGGTTGTACAAGACATATTTGTGGTCATGCATTATGTATGAGTGAAACTTTAGACTTGAGAAGAAATACTTTGGCCATATCATTCATATGCCGTTACCCAAAGAGAAGTCATTCATATCCAATTATGACGTTAACGAGAACAAGATGATGCAATGCTTATACACAACTTATAACATGAAGCACCAAAATTAAACAACAATACTACTTACTCTTTATAAGCAGCATTCACTGAATTAGCAGAGTATTTATCCTTTACAGAAATCAAGGACTTTCTAGTATTTCAATATACAATTGCAGATTTTATGAACATCAACTAGTCTCACATAATAATATTATTAAACCATTAATTCTCAGCCCATGCGATGCAAGGGCAGGAGAGAGACAAAGAGAGACTTAGTAGCTTAGTTTTAAAAAGTTAAATTTTGGGTTAATATTAGAAGACGGAAAGAGATCATGGTATAATTGTCTTTGTTTGTGAGAGATAAATACATAGTTTTCCTTATTTGTTGGAAGTTTTCCTTTTATGTTTGGAGAGTTGTGGTTCATTGTTAAAAAATAAAGGGGAAAAAAGAGCAAATTAATATATAAAGAAAGATAGATGCATGCTAGATCACACATCTTTGTTCTCTTTTTTTTTTTGTCGGAACAGATTAGATGTGTCATGTTAGATATAAATAAATGTGCAATACTATGTAACAATAGAGTAATAGCCAAAATAATAAACAAAATTCAATAATACAGCTAATAAATTATAGCAGCAAAGATAGGATAACAATATGAAATATCTATTGATTGAGGAAGAAATATTAGGGTCGTGAATTTTAAATTATCTCCAAAAAAAGCCTTTTTCCTGCCAACTTTCCCAAAAATTCTCTCCTTAAATAGGAATCCGTAAAAATAGAAAAACGAATAGCCAAAATTGGGATCCCAGAGCTTCATTCAAGTTAAAATGATAATTCCTAAAATATCTCTCCTTCAATAAAAACTCCTACCAAAAATAAAAAAATAAAAAGTACAAATTCCATATAAATTCCTTCATTTGAGTCAACAATAGGAAATCCTACCAGAAAAAGAATTCCCATGAAAACAACTAGATTTCTATCTCAACAAAATAAGCAACAATGCTAAAAAACAAAATTAAAATGTTCATAATACAAAATAAATTAAATATGACAAACTAAAACAACTAGTTAGAGAATTAAATAGAAGAGGATGTAAGATTAAATATTGGCTTATAACTAAAATCATTACCATCATAGCCTTTTTCCAACTAATTGAGGTCGGCTACACAAATCTTGGTCCACCATTCTGCTCTATTAAGGGCTATACCCTCAGTGAGGCCATAAGTCCCCATGCCTTTTCTTACTACTTCCAACCATGTCCTTTGGGACCTACCCCTTGTTCTTTTTTAGCCTTCCACTTGAACTGATTCACACCTCATAACAGGTGTTGTCCTGGGTCTACGTTATATATGGGCAGCATACTGAAGCTTACTTTCTCTCATCTTATCGCCTATTGGTGTCACACCTAAACTCTCTCGAATGTATTCCTTTTGAATTCTATCCCTTCTTGTCATGCCACTCATCTATCTCAACATCCTCATGTCAGCTATACCCATTATATGGGTATGTTGTTTCTTGACCGCCCAATATTTTGCCCCATAAAGCAAAGTTGGCCTCACTATTGTCCAATAGAATTTGCCCTTCAACTTTGCGGCAATCACATAAAACTCCGGTTGCACTTCTCCACTTCACCCACCCAGCTCTAATTCTATGTGCGACATCTTCCTCGATCTCTCTATTTTCTTGGATTAGACCCAGGATATTGAACTTGCGCTCTTTTTGGTATTTCTTAGCTATCAATCTTAACTACTTCCTTGTCTCTACTCCTATTATTACTAAACTTGAATTCCATATACTTTGTCTTTGACTGGTTAATTTTAAAACCTTTAGATTCTAGAGCATCCCTCCAAAGTTTAACTTTGTGTTGAGGCTGCTTCATGTCTTATCGATCCATAGATTCAGTATTCATGAAAAGTTTTGGTAAAGTTTTATGTTAGTTGCCCACTTAACACAACCCAATTCTTTTACCCAGGCTTGGACGGGGTTAAGTGAAAGTTTAAGGTCCTCACCCCTCAAAATTCGAGGAAGTTTTTCTCGGACTCTCAGTGTGGTCAGGGATACACCCTGGCTACCAAATTCACAGTCAATGGCTTTGGTGTGCTTCTACTTATTCGTACCAGCAGTAAATGGTTTCTTTGTATATTTTCCCTCTAAAAATTTTTTTGTTATTACAAATGTGATCATAACATACCATAGGATATATTTAATAATGTTATTAAAGACCTTGGAATTGTGGAAACCTCTGCACACCTGGATGTCCTTAATCTCAACTCGTCATTTTGTAACTTGTAGCTTCAGGATCACTAAACTGAGTTCTAGTGCTGCACTCATTTCTTATGAGAGTTACTTCTTCTTTTTTTTTCCCTTCTCTTGTTCTGTATGCAGTATTTCTGATTCCAATATCCATTTCCCCGAATACAATTTTCATAGATCACACATATTTAAACTTTTTCACAAATTTTGGTACAATGCACATGGATAACAATGAAAATGATCACAGATTCACCATTGCCATTATCAAGTAGTGGCTTTCTAAAATAAGCTTGATTTATTGTGGTGTGACTCTCATAATGCCTGTGCCAATTACATTTTATCCATGTATATAACAGAGCTAGAATAAAACAGCAGAGTTCAAATCCAATAAGAATACCAATTTGAAAAACATCCATCAAATTTCCCAAAATAGAAATTCAATTGTTACGTATTACCGACATACAAAAACAAAGTATGCTTCATGTAGACACACAACCTCAACATGCAAAAGAAAACATTGGATTTGTCTAATAAGCTCGACTTGTTGAGGTCTGATTTCACAATGCATGGGCTAATTAGCTTGGATCCATTAAAACAAAGCTCAAGTATAACAACAAAGAGTTCAGAATGAATACAAATCACAATTCACTGATCAAATTTTCCAGAAATTCCTGAAAGTTGAACCGTTACATAACAAGTACATGCAAAAGCAGAGGCTTCAGAACACGTGCATAACATCGACATGCAACAGCACAAGCAGCTTCAAACTTCAGCAATCCAATGGCCAAACGTCAACATCATGCAACAAAAGAATAGCTCACAAAAATCATCAAAAATAAGTATCCACTAGAGCTGAAATTAAACAGTAAAACAAACTCACATCCGACAACAAATTTCACGAAACTCACGACACACCGCAACAATGTACCACCTTCTGCAATTCCATCAACAAGCTCCATCCATCTCAAACACAAGCATGCAAAACACTCCCATAATTAGGGTTTGGGCTCCTAAACCAATCAATAAACCACTTCCAAAAACAAGAAGCTCAGTGCATGAAACTCACCTTAATGCAAATGCACTCAAACAAAGTACAGTAAGCCCCTGCAACTTGTTCGAGAAGCCTCGGCAATGGCGAAGACAATACTGCAAGTGCTGCAAATTAGGGTTAAAAAATTAGGGTTAAAGGGATTGATAAAGAAAATATTTATTACTTCGAAAAAACTAAAAACAGCGCCGCCGTTTTAAGGAGAGGAGATATGAAAAAAATAAATATAAATAAATTTAGGAAATAAAATTTTGGCGCGCTTAAGGTTTATGTAAAGTGGGCCCAGGCGCTTAAATACAGTTTCAATAATAGCAAATCAGTACCTAGATCCCCTGCATAATTCGAGGACGTGCTTCAGGGCTTATAACCAAAGACACAAACCGGTTGTCCAGGGTCATTGAAGGGTCTCAATGGCATTGAAACGGATGTTTATGCTTTAATGAGTGTCTTAAATCACTTTTTTTTTCTTCTGCCCATTTTTTTTCATGGTAAATTCTAATAGCAATAATATCCGTAATAAAACCAAGGAAATAATAATAACTAGTATTTAATACTTTAAGGGAATGGTTTAAATAAGGCGAGGTCCTAAACAATCAAATTAAGGCACACCTCAAAAAATCCCTAAAAGAGGTTGTTTAAGTACTTAAAAATCCTCAAATTGATCATCTAAACCGCAAATTGTATGGGCATTAGAAAAAATGAATTTCGAGCATTGGAAAAATTGCATCTTGTAATGTATTTTCGAACCATCAATTTTCAAGGCTTTCAAATGTTCATAAATCTGCTCAAGGAATGGAACTGGAGATGTAATGTTGCTAAAATCAACTGCTAATCACTCAAACCCAAGCCTGATTCCCAATTTTTTTCATAAATTCTTGATAGAACAAATTAACACGGAAATTACACAATAGAACTATCCGCCAATGATATCCAAACTATAATTATTAAGATCGGACAATACCAGTTAGACCGCCACCAGTGCCTTGCGAGTTTGGTCCATATAAAATTTGAGTTTTGTCAAAAACCAATCAAAACAAATATTTGATTACTTTTAGGTAATCTAACTGGCCGATTCTAACCTATTCGATTGGCCAAACAAAGTGATAAACTATTTTCTAGTATATTATATATTTTAAAAGTATTATTAAAATTTTAAAATATTTTTAGAATTCAATCAAATTAGTTTCACCTGCAGTCATACTCGTTTTGAGTTGACCAAATTCCGTACTGGTTTAGTAGTTGGTCCGATGTTGATGACAATGATCATTACCAAGTACTATAGACAAATAAACTAATATACCATTGCACCTCAAATGGGGGCAACTATTTTTCTAGTATATTATATATATTTTAAATTATTGTTCATATTTTTAGAATGCATATTAGTTTGACTAACAACCAGACTCATTTTGACTGAACCAAATTCTTTATTAGCTGGTCTAATGTTGATAATAATGAACTATAGACATATAAAACTAGGGTGCAAATTGTATAGAGCTGAGGCTCTAAACAATCAAAGTGCAGCCACCCTTCAAATAGTGTCGAGAAACGTAGTTTCAATACTGTAAATCTCTGTGATGACCTTAAATATATTTTAATCTCTAATTGTAAAATTTAAAGCTTAAAAAATAGTGTAGATTGGGAATATCTATAAAAAACTGAAAATCTTGAAAATTGATGGTCCAAAAATGTATTACAAAATGTACTATTTCTAAAACTTAAAATCCATTTTTTTCTCATGTCCATACATCTTGATGTTGAGATGGACAATTTGAGGATATTCCAGCATCAAAACAACTTCGACTAGTGAATTTTTTTAGGTGCACTCCAATTTAATTGTTTAGAGTCTCGGCTTTATATAAATATAAACTTTTTCCATAAAACTAATATATTAATATAAGGAAAATTGTTTCATGCGGGCTCGACTGCATTTCTACATATGCGGTCCATAAAATGTAAACCATCCATTTAAAAGATACATGCAAGTAAGTGTTCCATCTAAAAACAATGGAAACTAACGGTCCAAATGTTTTACTATTAGAATTATTATTTTTAGTTTTTAAAATTTATTTATTTTTTCATATTCATGATCTCCATGTTAGCGAGTACATATCCTTAAAAATTAAATTTTTAAATCCATCTCAAAAATAAATTTATTAAGAGGCCCACATTTGTACATATGCAGCTTGGCCGAATAGAAACCATGTCCTTGATATAAATCTAAAACATTTCCCCTAAAATTTGACCGGTCCAAGGGCCTCCACGAGATTATTAATTTGTAGAGCATCTAATTGGTTATGCAACTTCATAGGGGGGTTGTGTTAACATTGTGTCAAGATGCGAGAGAAGAGTTTTGAATTTCGCGCGTGTACAGTATCTTACCATTTCAGGAATGGAGCGTGTGGAGGCTTGGTTAAGATATAGCGTCTCACGCTTTCTTTCCATTTGAAGAAATAAATAAAACAAACTTAATTCGCACGTGAGATGTGTGACCCGACCCGGGAAGGACTCTTGACTCCCTCCCTCCATTTTAGGAAAGAAATATGGCTTATCAAAATAAGTAAATCATCACCTCATATCTCAATGAAAATTGCAATTCAAGCATTGAAAAAACTTTGCATCAATTATTTTGGGATGAACATTATAGTTGTGAAAAAAACATATGACTTCAAACTTTAGAAAAAAAAATTGTAACAAATTATCTAGACCGTCAATTTCAACATAAAAATACATGTTCACAGTTCCACTATATCTGTATTATTTTTTCAATTTCAAAATTTATTGTCAGTATTGGAATTTGATTTTAGATTCATCATGTAGATTTGACATTATGTTTTCAACCGCATAAAAGGTGCAATTAGGAAATATTTTTATTAACCTTAATCTATAGTAAAGAGGTTTTATCCCAAATTTTGGGATCCTAAACTAATCCTAGATAGGATTTTACCCGAGGGAATACATGGTCAGTATACTCGAGAGAGAGTAAAATATCTTTTGGTAAAAGTAATATATATTTTGGCACGTGAGTTGGTTAGTTGCTAGTTGCAATAAGTGCTGACACGTGCGAGGTAAAGTATTTGAAACGCATGTTTGGTTAGTTTGAAATTTGTCTCAAGGAAATAAATCTCTGTTGAAGCCGATTTCTTATGTTTGGTAAATAGGAAATCTGTCATCAAGATATCCCTAAGGGGCACATCATTGTACAAAATACCCCGGAAATTTTGGCCATTTCTTGGAAAGCAGCTTCATATCCATACCTATCCAAGAAGGTATGAAGCCGCATCCAAGAAGGTATGAAACCAATTTTTTGGAAATCTTTCCTGAGGTAAGATTTTGGATAAATAAAGTGACCCTGAAAATAAGGCATAGATAGTTTATTTACAGAGAAGATATTTCTGTACATCCTCTTTTTAAATTTCATTTCTCGATAGTCTTAAAGTTTCAAATTTTTTAACCGAAACTGTGAAATGAAAATTAACAAGTGAGATATTTTAATTATTTTATACCCCATATTTTAATTATAGAAAAAAAGAGAAATGGATCAAAATACACATAAGCGATAAAGTATTTAACCTCTTACCCATATATCATGGTTTAATTTCAAAATACCCATCAAAATATACGTAACGATGGGTTCTAATAGTTGAAAATTAATAAACTATTAAATTATTAAAGTATTAGTAATATTTTAATAAATTTCTTTAACAAAATCAAATCAATACCCAAGAATTACGGGTGGCTATGGACCCAGACCAAACCCAAGTATGGGTTGGGTGCAAAAATTGGATCCGGTAGGTCAGGTTCGAGTCTAAATTATGGACCCAAACACTATTCAGGTATTGGTCCAAATTCGATCAGGTCTGGGTCCCACATTATATTTTCGGGTCCCAATTTATACAATATATATTGATTTTGGGGTTGGGTCCGTCTGGGTCCAATCGGATCCAGGTTTAGATTCAAGTCCGGTCCCACATTATATTTTCAGGTCTGGGTTTGAATCCGATGACTTCGGGACCGAACCGGACCAGTTGCCCCTCCGCCAAGATTTCACATTTGTGGCACAAAATAGGAAGGGACATGTAGATACCTGGGATTGTCATATTGGGGAAAGCTTGGTAGTCACATTCAGGAGCACTTGGTTGTCATGCTCAACACCTCGTGTTCCCTAAAACACGCAAGTGTTATTTTTATAGTTTACAATTTTATACAATGCAATCTTTATTTTCCCAGCCAAAGGATTAAGTGCTCCCGTGGAGCATGCCATTTATTTGCTCTCTTGGAAAGCACTCTATCTCGAAATAAACTCTAGGACTCAAATTTTGAAATATAAACTCATCAACTTTGAAACTAACCTAAAATAATAATAAATTTTGGAATATATCTCAAAATATTTTTAGGACTCGGATATTTTGGAATATAATCTCCTCAACTTTGAAACTAACCTAAAAAAAGGTAAAATAATATATTTGTTATCTCCAAAAGAACTCTCTATCTTGAAATATTTTTAGGACTCGGATTGTGGAATATAACTTCCTCAACTTAGAAACTAACCTCAAAAAGGTAAGATTTTTTTTTTAAAAGTAAAAGGTATTACAATTTTTACATGCCTTATAAAGGATAAGAATGAATAGAGACTGTATAGGATTTGGATGGTCTGATCTAGGTATTCAAGGACTTTAACTCTTTTTTTTTAAATGCTCATTTGATGATTTTAAAATGGATCTCAAAATTTTAGTTCCGCATAGTCCTCCCAGATAGTTAGTTGATTATGTCAATATATTTTAGAGATCAACCAAAAAAATGATTTAGAGTTCAAAATATTATCATCATGAAATAGATGTGGCAAAAGTTTTATACTAGCTGCTAACCTAACATAAGCCTTTTCTTTTTTCTGAGCTTGAGACTGGCGTAACTGGGTTGAGACCGGCCGTGGCATAGTTTTCAACCTCAAAAAATGCTCCATCAAAATTTCCACTCCAAAAGTGTTTATAGAGGGTCTATTTGTAGGATGTAGGTTTTCAAGAGCTCAAATTTAAATTTTCCTTTTTATGTTGATGTTCGTCACAAGGTGGATCAATCGTTTTGAAAATGTTCAATCGATGAATTCTTCGCATTTAAAATATTGGCCCATGTAGTATTTTTCCTTTGGCTTGTAGTGACCATATGTCGCAGCCTTACTTT